ATGTCATAACTATTGTTTAAAACATACGAAATATGCCTGGTACTGAGCGAATGGTTCTTGGTCAACAGTTGGATACACTGAAGGACATATCTTCAGGGTGAGGTATGTGGGGTGGGGATTTCTTTCGAACCAGAAAATTGTGTTTTCTTTTATCTTAAATTATTTTCCCCCCAACAAATATAATGGATATAATTAGTTCTTTCTTTCGTCAAATTACAACAAGAGAGCAAGGGTATTTTAAATACTATTTTGGAGCCATCATATTTCTCAAAATATCGTTCCTCGAAACTTAGGTAGTCAATCTCTGACGCATAATCGCCTTTCGCTGTATCTGTTGCAGTTTGAAATGAAATGCCTGTTGACAGATTGTCAGCAACATTTGGTTAGGAAAACGCGTGATAGCGCTACGCAAGTGCATCTTGACATTGCGATCTATGGTGTACTGTTATCGCCCATAAATAGTACACGTCAACGTTGACTTCCCCAAATAGATTCTTTTTAAACCAGTCTAAGTCGGATTTACATACATGTTAGTGGTAGGTAACGTCTACTCTAAGGTGAAAGGTTATCACGAAAGCATCAATCATTTTTACCATGTATAGGGTACACCTCGCTCTACCCCCACCCCTCTTTATCCAGGGCAGGATTATCCTAGGGCAAAGTGGGCAACATGCCCAGGGCCCCCGAATCACCGTATATTATCATCTTATTTCACAGGCAGTGTTGTTAATAGTACTGTAGCTATATCTATGGAAAAAAAAAACATGATAGTTATGGGCATCTATGTTAGATGTTTCCAGGGCCCCAAAGGCCCCCCCCTCTCTCTCTCTCTCTCTCTCTCTCTCTCTCTCTCTGACACGCACACACAAATTATTAAAATTCACCCCAGAGAGAGAGAGAGAGAGAGAGAGAGAGAGAGAGAGAGAGAGAGAGAGACAGACAGAGACAGAGATAGACTAAATGTGATTAACAAATCTAAACTCAGTGAGAAAAAATTTGACGAAACCGAGGCGTGACTAATAATGTTATATGAAGTTACCTTCATATGACATTATTAGACACCACACGGTTTCGTCAAGGAAACCACAAGGAACATAAGTGCACAGAAGTAACAGTATTCAACTTTTCCTTATATGGGGTGATTCAGTTCGTTGTGGGAGTGGGGGATGAATGAATGTCCCCAAGACATATTTTGTCAGTGCTTGATAAAAGATATTGCCATAGTTACATAGAATAATTAACATTTGTACGCATGATTATATGACAGATCACAGTTAAGTTATTTGTGTGATAGAGTATGTGCTGAGAACGGTTTTAATTAATGAACAAAACGCTGTTTTGAAATATAGATTAAACATAAATACAAGAAATGGGGTGGGGTATAGCACGGAAACATTCTTTTAAACATGTATGTGTAAGAGAAATATCCCTGACACTGGTCATCAGCAGGGATGAGTATTGATATTAATGGCATTGGTCATCAACCAGGATGAGTAATGATATTGATGGCATTGGTCATCAACCAGGATGAGTAATGATATTGATGGCATTGGTCATCAACCAGGATGAGTACTGATATTGATGGCATTGGTCATCAATCAGGATGAGTAATGATATTGATAGTCATCAGCTAGAATAAGTAATGATATTGATGGCATTGATCATCAACCAGGATGAGTAATTATATTTATGGCATTGGTCATCAACCAGGATGAGTAATTATATTGATGGCATTGGTCATCAACCAGGATGAGTAATTATATTGATAGTCATCAGCTAGAATAAGTAATGATATTGATGGCATTGGTTATCAACCAGGATGAGTAATTATATTTATGGCATTAGTCATCAACCAGAATGAGAAATTATATTGATGGCATTGATCATCAACCAGGATGAGTAATTATATTGATGGCATTGGTCATCAACCAGGATGAGTAATTATATTGATGGCATTGGTCATCAGCCAGGATGAGTAATTATATTGATGGCATTTGTCATCAACCAGGATAAGTAATGATATTGATAGTCATCAGCTAGAATAAGTAATGATATTGATGGCATTGGTTATCAACCAGGATGAGTAATTATATTGATGGCATTGGTCATCAACCAGAATGAGAAATTATATTGATGGCATTGGTCACCAGCCAGGATGAGTAATGATATTGATGGCATTGGTCATCAATCAGGATGAGTAATTATATTTATGGCATTGGTCATCAACCAGGATGAGTAATTATGTTGATAGTCATCAGCTAGAATAAGTAATGATATTGATGGCATTAGTCATCAACCAGAATGAGAAATTATATTGATGGCATTGGTCATCAACCAAAATGAGAAATTATATTGATGGCATTGGTCACCAACCAGGATGAGTAATGATATAGATGGCATTGGTCATCAACCAGGATGAGTAATTATATTGATGGCATTGGTCATCAACCAGAATGAGAAATTATATTGATGGCATTGGTCATCAACCAAAATGAGAAATTATATTGATGGCATTGGTCACCAACCAGGATGAGTAATGATATAGATGGCATTGGTCATCAACCAGGATGAGTAATTATATTGATGGCATTGGTCATCAACCAGAATGAGAAATTATATTGATGGCATTGGTCATCAACCAAAATTAGAAATTATATTGATGTCATTGGTCATCAACGAGAATGAGAAATTATATTGATGGCATTGGTCACCAACCAGGATGAGTAATGATACTGATGGCATTGGTCATCAACCAGGATGATAAATTATAATAATGGCATTGGTTATAAACCAGGTTGAGAAATGATATTGATGGCATTGGTCATCAACGAGGATGCGCAATGATTCTGATGACATAGGTCAGCAACGAGTCTGAGTAATGATATTTCGCGTTTAGGATAAGAGACAACAGAGTTCATGTCAGCTTGACCTCAGGATGACAATGTGCGCCAAATTGAATATCTTTCTCAGAGCAGTTTAGAAGGAGAGGCAATGAGAGACAATTGCTAATGAATGCGTAACGAAGGACGACAGAAAATGGACGACGTACGTAGATGCGGTAACATAGGATATATGGCGTTGGACCAGTGCAGCTAAATGAACAAAGTGATTGTTTTTGTGTGCTATGAAAACAGATACAACGGAAGATGGTCATACAACTATGTAATATCTTAAAGTAATAATGAAATCTTTCTTCTAAAACTTAACAAAGCCGTCTTATATGTTTTTGTTTCTGTGTATTACATTATATCATTATTCTATTTTCTCGACCATTAGGTTCTCTTAGACGGTCAGAGAAAAGCCCTGATTAAATTGAAATAATTCATAATACAAACTGAGAAAAGTGAACTTAAAAGAACGTATTTAATGACCAGTGCTTCAGAAATGAAAGTATCTAATGTTATCCCATAAGATCAATGCCAAACCATATATACTGTGACACACAAACGGGTCTCAATACTGAGCGAGAGAAACAACTCTTGTATTAGTCTGGATCGACGTCCATGTTTCTTTATTTCCATGAACCATACAACAATATTCGTTATCAAGTGTTCTTAAACGTGAAAATACAGTAAATAACTTTGTCTGATCGCCTAATGACCACACATCACGAAATTCGAATTCCACACTTGCACGGGTGTTCTTGCTTCACATTAGTATGACCCATTAGTTAGCCTTTCTAAACCCAATTTCAGTACTTTACCCCACAACACGATCCAAGCACCTAATACAAAGAACTGTTCTTAATTGAAGTTACTGAAAATACATTAAAATATCGTGAATATGTGAAGAAATCAAAAAGGGTATGGTCCATATTACTCAGCTTATCCATGTCAGCACACACACACACACACAATACTATCATACATAAATTTTTTTAATTCGTACTCTGTTTAGAGTTGAAGTCAGGTCCGCAAGTAAACGGCAACCATCGTCTTACCTGCAGACACCAGCCCATATTCCATCACGACTAAGCACCCATCACCAAACAAATGATGCGACTGAATTGGTATTATATGCATTTGTGAATACAGACACTCACATGACGACCTAGTTCTGTGTCTGGTGTATATTTATAAATAATTCTCTCTCTCTCTCTCTCTCTCTCTCTCTCTCTCTCTCTCTCTCTCTCTCTCTCTCTCTCTCTCTCTCTCTATATATATATATATATATATATATATATATATATATATATATATATATATATATATACTTTTTCATTACATGAATCAAAATATATCATTTCGTAATACAGCTTGTAAATTGTAAAACAATCACTTCAGAAACACAATGTTCACTTACTTTACAAAGAAGTTTCACCAAAGAAATCCTAGGTAGGTAATGTTCTCCAAATACATTGATCCATACAAAACTAAAACAGCGTACTTTGAACTGCTTTATCTTGAGTGAAAACCCTATCAAATCTGGTATCGATACCTTTCATGATAGCAAGGATATTGTCCTTTAGAATCTCATAATCGATAAATCTAATTAAAAGCGTAGAAACTTGGTCATCTTCAAGGACGGGTAACCTGGTGTGCTAAGAGGGTTTACCACATCCCTTATATGACATGTCCCTTACAAGGAAAATGGGTGAGAGTTTATAAGACCGTTAACCGTGAACATAACAAAGTAATATGTAAAAAATAATGTATATGTGAAAAGAATTTTCTGTGTACTGCATTTAGTTTTCGATATAAAACTTTGAAAACCTATTGAAAGTGACTAAAGAACGAATGGTGACAACTTTAGCAATATTTAAATTGGGCAAACATACTGAGAAAAAATACAATTATCCCCCCTCCTCCGGCAACTTCTTCATGGAATTCCAGGATATTTATCTTTAGCCCACTGTGACAAAAATAGAGCTTGAAACAAACACTTTTAAACTACATTGTAGACTATCAAGCTAGCAATTAACACTATCTAGCTAGCAATTAATAACATCGTGTGAGCAACTGAAACAATTAATCTAGCAATTAACAGTCAAACTAGTATGAGACCGCTCCGGTGGCCTAATGGTTGGAGCGTCTGCCTCGGATGCGGAAGGTCGTGGGATCGATCCTCGGTTGAGTCATACCAAAGACTTATAAAAGTGGTACTTAAAGCTGCATCATTAAGAGGTTAGTGTTAGGACTGGTCGGCCAAGTGTCAGTATAATGTGACAGGGTGGGATATCATGATACATGTCTGCGGCATTATGCCCCAGTGCTAGACATCACTATAAACTGCCACACTGCAAACATCGTAGCGATATGACTGAAAAATTGTTAAAGCTACGTTATAAATCTAAATCACACACACACGCGCGCGCAATTAAAAATATCGTGTGAGCAGATGAAACAATTAAGGTAGCAATTAATGCTATCAAGCCAGCAGTTTAGACCATCAATTTAGCAATGAACACAATAAAGCTAGCAATTCATATTTCTTAATGGCACAAAAATTGTACATTTTCAAAAGCTGACATTAAATTAGTATCTAAACTCGACTGAAACTTTTGCGATAATGCAACCTAAAGGTAGTAATTATTTTCTGCATTATAGTACAGATTGTGGACTTTGTCAGTATGTTTTCACAATCTGACCTGAATCATGTAAAGTATCGGCTGAAACTCCTGGTAGAGGTCATATGTAAGTTTTGTACTTTCCATGCATTAATTAGTCTTAATATTGGTCAAAGGTACATTTTCTACTATGCATGTTTTGTATAATGCATGAATTAGTCTAGATAGTCTCCATAGGTACGTTTTGTACAATGCATTAATTAGTCTTGATAGTGGTCATAGGTACGTTTTGTACTATACATGAATTAGTCTTGATAGTGGTCATAGGTACGTTTTGTACTATGCATGAATTAGTGTTGATAGTGGTCATAGGTACGTTTTGTAGTATGCATGAATTAGTCTTGATAGCGGTCATAGGTACGTTTTGTAGTATGCATGAATTAGTCTTGATAGCGGTCATAGGTACGTTTTGTACTATGCATGAATTAGTGTTGATAGTGGTCATAGGTACGTTATGTACTATGTATGAATTAGTCTTGATAGTAGTCATAGGTACGTTTAGTACTATGCATGAATTAGTCTTGATAGTAGTCATAGGTTCGTTTTGTACTATGCATTAATTAGTGTTGATAGTGGTCATAGGTGCGTTTTGTACTATGCATTAATTAGTCTTGATAGTGGTCATAGGTAAGTTTTGTATTATGCATGAATTAATCTTGATAATGGTCATAGGTACGTTTTGTACTATGCATAATTTAGTCTTGATATATAGGGTGCAACTATGATTATTGCCCGATCAACAAATCAGAAGATCAAATATGAATTTGATTCAAACTAACCCCAAAACATCGTTTCGAATGTAGTTCTAGTGCGACAATGCGAAATATGGATTCACCCAATAACTCGATGTCGTTTATGTTTTTGACTTTGACAGCGACTACCGAAAGAGTCTAGCTGATGTGTATGAAATGGTGTTTTACGGTGTGCAAGACTATTTAGTGCCAAGGTTATTGGAGTAAAGTACTTTGTACAAGGACAAACCAAGTTAATTGTAGCAAATGTACCTTGTCCCAGGACACACCACGTAGTAGTATTAGGAAATGAGAGTTTTGGCTCACTTCATTTTTTTACCCTCCAAACAAGTATAAATTAAATGAGGGTTTCCAAAACAGGGAAATGAGGGTTTTGGCTCACCACCCCCATCCCACACCTCCTCCCCCACCCCCGCCAAACCCCTCATTTCCCTTTACTACTACTATGTAGACAGATATTTTGTAACCAGACAAAACAACAGGTGTTGGAATGCGATAAGCTCTGTCAACAGAAGTGACGAATTTGTTAGAACAGCGTATGTGTGGAATATGATTATTCTAAAGACGACAAATAGGTTTTACCACAAATTTTTTATTAGATAACAGGATGAAAATTAAACTGTGCATTAGAACGTTTCAGTTAACAAGGCGGAAATTAAACTAGCATTAGAATGAAAATGATATTATTTTAGTTATATTATATCTTAAGTTTAGATAAAATTTTATGTTACTCATATTTTTTGTGATATTTGTTTTCATACTTGCTAACCCTCATTGGTAGAATATCTGTTAACATAAAGTCAATAATACGAAATTCACGTAATAAATCATCCATATTATATTTAACTCCTCGTAGGTAAGACCGGATCTGATCAAGTAGTTTCTTGTAAGTTTTAATTGACGTTAAACATCCGTGCTTTTTTATCAAAAGTCTTGGTTCTACTTATTTACACGCAGCTGTCAGTGAAACACCAATACCAGATATAATTAACAAAAATGGATTTAATGATACCCCACTTGAAATTATACCAGAACTGGTCATTAACAAGGGTAGATATGATATTACTCGAAGGATCTTGTTGTAGTATTTATAACATTTTTTAACACACCAAAGTTTTTTATGATAATATTTATAGTATTGTATTAGTGCGTCCACATCCTGTTCTGGAATATCTTTTGAAATGTGAATAAAATCAACCATACTTCTTTTCATTAAAATATTTGTTTACATAGTTATGATAAATCAGCTACAAATTCCAAACACCACCGATAAGGACCTACAAAATTTTTATCAGTTGGTTCAAGTGTAAATTCCTCCTCAGAATTTTTGTTTAATATTACAGATAATATTCCAAATATGTCATCATCTAAATAACGCCATGAATATGTGGTAAATATTTTAAACTTTATACTGCTAAACACTGACAATCTATACACACCGGTAACTTCTGCAATATATTTGATAGATTTGTTTTGTGATGTCCATCCACTATAACTAGATGCAACAGTATACACAATATTTTTAATCTGTTTGTGAGGAATTTTAACCATACTCGTTTTCTCAACAATATTAGGAATTCCACTAATAATATCATTGAGCTTTGTGTTAATATCATTGAGTTTTGTGTTAATATTAGCGAGTGTAATGTTAACATTTGATGGATTTCCAAAAAATTCATCTCTAATTTTGTTTATGTTTCTGCGAAAACTTAAAAATGTGTTCACGTGACTGGTAAAATCAGTTTTGGGCGATGTGATTTCATTATTAATTGAAGCGTCCCAATCATTGACGTACTTTTTAGTGACAGCATCCCCATCCTCAGTTGGGTTTCCAAGATCAGTAATCTTGTTTTGTGTCATAACAATATTCCCACTTGGATTTCGTACAACTACATCTGACAGTTTTACGTTACTCGTCTTTAATCGTCCTTCTTTGTCCTGGAAAATGACGACTTCATCTGGATCTACGCTGGTAAGATTTAGTAAATTATTGATTTCATTTTTGAGCTGATCAAGAGTTGCATATTTGGATAAGTCACCTGTGGATAAATCTGATAGTGTTCCAAATTTTGTATAGTAGCTCATTATTTACTGTCTTAGATAAAATTATCAATACTAGTTTAATATTATACAAAATGGCAAAATCGTTGATATTAAACTTTGATACAGAGAGACTAGTGAAGCATAAACATAACAATGAAGTTCCTGATTGTCATTATCTTATTGTTGGGCGAACTGGATCGGGGAAAACAAATTTGCTTATGAATTTGCTTCTTGGTGATAATTTTAACTACGACAGAGTTTATATTTACACAATCAATCCACAGCAAGATAAGTATGAGTTATTAAGCGAATATAATAACAAGCTTTGTGATGATCTTAAAACTGGTGAAGATTTTTTTATAATTAGGCAGCCAGAAGATCTTATTCCAGTTAATCAACTTGATGCAGATGAACATAAGATAGTAGTTTTTGACGATATTCCTCTAAATAACATGGAGATGAATAAAATAAGATCATATTTCTCACTGTCACGTAACAAACAGTGTAATTCTGTTTATCTCGCTCAAGGATTTTATAATGTTGATAGATTTATTAGGCGAAATACGTGTTGTTTTATTTTATTTCCAGGACTGGATAATGTTGACGTTAGAAATATTGCAAGCGAGCAATGCGGTGGCGTGACAAAAGATAAGTTTATTGATCTTTACCGTAATGCTACAAAAGATAAATTTAACTTTTTCTTGTTTGATAAACTTACAAATGATCCAACTAAAATGTTTCGCTGTTGTATTAACAGTTACTTACAGTAAAGCGTTTCAATTTTATAAAATTTATAATTATAATAATGGACAAACGAGCAAGATACAGACAACACATAGAAGATCTAAAAAAACTTGCACAATCTCAGGCATCACTTAAGCAAAAAGTACAAGAAGCACGACGTGGGCAAGTAACTGCTACAGAAGTAACAGCTACAATTTTCAAGCCGCTTACTGAAGCACTATTATGTAAACAACCTGAAACTAAACCACTATCAGAAGAAGAACTTAAACAACTGCAAGAAAAAGGTTTGGTTGGAATTGTTAGAGAACAACAAGAAGCAGCTGCAGCAAAACTTGTTGCTAGATCTGATGAAGAAAAAAGAAAACTGATTGAGGCACGTACAGCAAATATAGCTGATCCTGCGGCTAGACAAGCTGAAACAGATCGATTGATAAACAATCCGCTGGAACTTGAGCGAAGATTAGCAGAGTTAACAACGCAAGGAATAACAAATATTAAAACAAATTTATCAGGAGATATAAAAGATATCAAAGAGGAGCAACAAAGAGTCGGTGATCTTACTGTAAAGTTTATGGAAGTTGGAGATCAAAGATTGTATTTTACAAAAAGATCAAATGATGAGATAAAAGCTAGTGAATATGATGATTTTTTAAACAAAGAAAATATAAGGGGTATTGATGATATAAGCAAGTGGACTGATGTAGAATATCAAACATTACTCGATAGATTAGATGTAATATTTAATGACGGAGTTACTGCTAAAGATGAAATAAACACGGTTACAGAAATTGATGATATGCTTCCATTTTATAATAGAATGAGAAACAATGTCATTGCTCTCACGTTTAAAAAAACAGCAGAAAATAGTAGAGCAAAACCTTTTGGTAGTGGGTGGAGTTTCAGAAGGAAATTTTTTACTTTTGATAAATCTCGTATACAAAAAAGTAGAGTAAGAACAGGAACTGGTGTAAA